GTGCCATCTGCAAACTTGCTGATGGTAAACCTAAAGCCACTGAGTTGAGCAAAGCAAAACAAGGAATTCATTCACCATTTCCCATGAGCAGGCAGGTGTTCAGCCATCCCTAGAAGAGCAGGGCTGCATCACACCTAACAGTGATTTGAGAAGACAAACACCATCACTCCGAACATCCCCTCCTGCCTCCTTCTTCCCCTCCCTCTATATACTGAAAATGATGTGATATGTTATGGAATATCCCTTGGGTCAGTTGGGGTCACCTGTCCCAGCTGTGTCCCCTGTCGATTTCACACACACACTCAACCTTCTTGCCAGCACTGCATTATGAAAAGCAGGAAAGGCACTGCTCAGCAATAACAGAAACATCTCTGCATGATCAACCCTGTGTTCAGCACCAGTCCAAAACAGAGCTCCATACTAGCCACTGCAAAGGAAACTAACTCTTCCACAGCCAAAAGCTGTACATATGTATATTATATTTACAGATATTGCTCCGGTGTCATACTATTTGAGAGTCCTCTATGTAGCTTAATTTTTAATCCTTTGTCCATTTTTTTGCTAATTAACTCCATCCTCTTTTGGTCCCACTATTCCTGACCTGATTTTTATTGTAGCATTTCATTTTATCTGATGTGGTATTTAAAAATATAGCAGCATTACCATTCTACCCATGAGGAGGCCCAATATTTTAGCCTTATCTAACTGATGCTTCTTCATCTTCTTACTATGCAGATAGATGAAAAGAGCTCTTTTTCTGACCACTAGCTTACACTAAAGCAAACAAACAAAAAGCTTTGGATAACATTAGTAGGCTGATGTTTGAGCAGCTGAAACAGTCCAAAAGTGCTTCTTTTAATTGCAGGTGATGTAGCACTGCTAGAGCCTGAAGCTGGAACCTGGAACCAAACTACAAGAGGAGGAATGTTTATGTTTTCTGAAGCAGTAGTGGAAGCTAATGTGCCTGCCCTGGCTCATCTTTATAAGTAAAAATTGAATTGGCATAACTGTTTTCAATTCCCTTGCAGGTTCTCCACAGCCAAATTTCCTCTATTGAGAAGCAGGCCACCACTGCCACTGGTTGCCCATTGCTGATCCGCTGCAAGAATTTCCAGGTCATCCAGCTGGTCATCCCTCAGGAAAGAGACTGCCATGACATTTATATATCTCTGATACGTCTGGCACGACCAGGTATGGGAAGGAAATGGCACAAAAACCCAATCCTCAACCTGAAGAGGGAGAATATTGTGGAAGAAATGTATCAGTGCATCTTTGCCCTTTGCCAGTTAAGAAAAAACTTCATTAGAGATGTGTTATATTAAAGTAATCACTTATGGAGCAATGAAGAAGGCACATTATAACAAGTAGTTTGTTCCATAAAGTATGACATGAACTTCTGTTTAAAGTAATACTCTAGGGTATCATGGGCCATAAAATATATTGTAATGCTATTTTATTTTCTATTGTTTTTTACTGGATGTCTTGTGTAAGTGTGAATTTGGGAAAATAGTCTTTATCCAGGGAACTTTCATGTCCCTGCTGTGACAAAAACCTTACAATATATTTAGTGGTCATGTCAACATTTAGATTTTGACTTTCTGTGCTGTGCAGAAATTTCTTAAAATCAGTGAAAAGTTTTGCAGCAAGTATTTGACTTATTTCACTAAACTGCCTGTGTTTTGGCCTATTATTATCTACATTTTGAATATGCTCTGATTGAATTTCTGAATTTACTTCAAGATCCTTTTTAAACCTTTCCTCTTTTCAATGCAAACCCAAATGTTGTGTTAAAGTCTAACACTGATCACCTACATTATTGCTTCTCTCTGCATTACGTTCACCTAAGAACCAGCTGACAAGGCTTTTGTAGTGTTTATTTTAAATTTAACTGCAGAAATGCACCACCAACCTTTGTACTTTACTGTTATTTTAACAGTATGCAAAGAAATTGCCTACTACAGTCTGTACAAAGCTGACAACACTGGCTTTAATTTTTATCTTGCTAGGAGGATACCAATTTTATCTACTGTGTAGAGGGTAAAAAATTACAGTCAGCCAGCAGAGCTACTGAACTTTATAAACTCCCTTCTATAATTAGGGTAGTAGTAGTAGTAGTAGTCATGTACAACTATAGAAGAAGTAACTTGATATGCTAGGTGATGTAAGTAAACAGAGAAATTTAAAAACAATGAGACAGGTTCAGTCAGTGGTTCTGCTAATGTAAATCTGGATTCATTCCATGGACCTCAGCTGCCAGTACGTGTTGGTGCATGCTGGAAGGAATGTGATTCTGTAATGCTCTTGCCCTGGGGCAGGAGGAGGTTTGCGTGCTGCTACGCACCAGAACAAGCAGGCAGAATAACGAAAGGAAGAGTAGCTATGGACCCTGAATACAAGTTCAGTGGCAGACTGCAATGGACAAGAAGGTTTGAGTAAAGATGATGCAATAGCAGCACTGTAGAATTAGCTCTTTGCACAGTTCAGCTGCACAGGAGTTTTCCTTCTCCAGCAAACTGCTCAATCTTCATGTAAGATGGGATAAAGTCTTGCTTACTTATTAAAAATTAGAAGGTTCAGATTACAAGCTGAGCCATATGTACCCTTACAGTGCTTTGCCATGACATTTTTTTGTGTGCATAAAGCTGTAGTCTCTTTAGGTTACCGAGCATAGAAAGTTTACTCAGCTTATGCCATGAGGAGAAAATTTGACTTATCCAGGCTCTAGTTTCCATTCTCTGCCTGTTCTTTTCATTCATTGTGCCATAGGGGAACTCAAGTGAAGCCCATGCTCTGTACTGGTTCTATGTTCTGTGCTATCTGATGTCCTAGTTACATTAAAGGTGAATTTTATGTGTGATTTTACTTTCGCTAGAATTTTAATAAGGTCAAGCTGTCAGATGAATTTGTTCTTAATTTCTTTTTTCTTAATTAAGCCATTTTGTGAAACAAGTTGACTGTAAGAGCTATTACAGGTTTGACAGCAGGATTGCAGACCCTTATGGCAGAATAATTGAAAGATTAGGAAACATCCTGTAAGTACTGGCAAAGAGGTGGTAACTGAGCTTTAAAGCACTGAGTACTTATACTCGAACATTTTGTTTGCCACCTATAGATACTGTCATGTAATAAAACTTGTAACATTGAGGTAGACTTCAGTCGTAAATTACCTAGATATATTTTAATAGGGGGATTTTTAAAGACTTTCTGTGTGACCGTAAACAGCAGGCCCATTGGAAAGAAAATCCAGATGTTTCTGACAGCCAAGCATTGAAAACAAGACCTCAGATTGCTACCAAACCCACTTTATTAGAAAGCTCAAATTGGATTTATGAATTATGCTAAAACTTCATGTTAGCAGTTGAGAAATAAACCAGACTGTCTTCCTAATCTGTGCCATGCCAGAAGTTTGAAATTAGAGAACATAGGAAGAGTTTAAATGGTTGAACAATGTGTAAGGCATTCTTTTTTTTCCTCCCTACTCATGATTTTGTTGATTTATTAGATATTATTATATTTATTGATATTATTAGAAAAGAGAACATGGTATTTTAATTTACTGATCTTGCTAAAGTGATGTTGTGGAGCAAGTATATCAGTGGCGAACTATGAAATCAGAGAAAGCTCAGCTTGTTATTTATTTACTTTGGTTCTAAAGTTAAAAACCTGTTGGAGAGCTTTAAGGAACTTAGAGCAACAGAATGAAACACACCCCTGTGATAGAGAACATGAATTTCAAGCTGTATGCTGAGTAGTTACTCATGTCAGTGACAGCTGACATTGAATGGCAATGGTGTCTGTCTGCCACCAGTCACCAGGATGAAGATGCTTATTATAAATACCAATATAGTCCTAAGAAAAGCTAAAAACTCCAGCACCATCAAAGTTGCTTATATGGTCCTTGATCGAGAGGGACAGGTGGCATAGCTACTTATATGATTTCATGTTCATGATAAAATGATTGATGTAACATGGGTTCTTTTATGGTATTACAACATCTATATCTCCAGTGCCTTTGCCAATAATTCAAGTATGGAATTTTGCAGTCAACAAAACAGAGTGCATTGAATGTATTGGAAACCTCCCCAATTAAGGGGAAAGACTTATAAGTTACTTCATGTTTGGAAGATTGTGCTGCATAGTTCATTGTTCATATCTTTTGTCTTTTCCACAGGTCAGATGTTACGTTAATAAAGGGACTCCTAAACTACTTCTAGACCGCAAATTATTTTGCAGAAAAAGTGCTTAATCTGGCACTAATTTGGATGAAAGCATATTATCACTGACATTTTGTCCTTGTGCTGGGATAGGCTTTTATAATTCAGTAGAGCAGAAGTCCGGCAGAACAGTATATTTTAAGTAACACTTCTATTAAGGCGCATACAGTGCAACATATACAAATAACAAAATATCACAGTATTTTCAAAGTTTACTTGACAGTAGATACAAACCAGAATATGTGCTTTTGTCAAGCAGAGCATAGCATTTTAAAAGAAACTACATCAAGGTCAACACCAAGTCCTAGTTCTGAAGTGTTATTTCAGGATGAGAAATCTAAGGTGATTTACTGTTTTTGTTTGTTTTCTTATATTTTTTTCCAGTGAAATACGAAGAGCTGTATTGCTTCTCATTCAATCCAAAATTAGATAAAGAAGAACGAGAACAAGGCTGGAAGCTTGTGGACCTCAATGAAGAATATAATCGGATGGGTGTTCCAAACGACTATTGGCAGATTAGTGATGTAAACAGAGACTACGAAGTGAGTTGTGATTTTTCTGTTACAGAGACTGTCTGCAGTATAAACCAGCAGCCTGCCTATGGGCTACTGCAGTGCTTATTTGCAGGATCCCTTTGTGCTGAGTGCTGTACACACATGTAGTAAGGTGCAGTTCTTCCACTCTTTCACATAAAAAGGCCCACAGAAAGTGAGAGAAAGGATGTGTCTTCATTTAACAAATGTGGAAATGAAGCCTAGAAAATACGTCCACAGTGTTTTATATGTTACAGTTCAGCTACCTGGGAAGAAATTTAAATCATACCTAATGCTATGTTTTTCCTGACATGTAGGGTTATATAAAATTACTACACAGTCATTTAGAGAAAACAAAATACTCAAAATACTGAGCTTGGCCATCTTTCTCCTCACTGGCTATTCCCACAATCCTTTTGAAGCCTCTATGATTGACTTTTAGTGTTTTTCACAGCCATCTGATAGGTCATATATCTTTCTAGCTGCCTGCTCTCGTTCAGTCTTGTACAACTGAAGACCATAGAATGGTAATTAATTGTGAGAAATAACAACCAAAGTAGTTTTGAAGGGAGTTCGTCCATGCACTCCATTGGCTCTGTTGCTGGAGTACTTCCATGTTAAGAAAGGGCTGTGAAGTTCTCAGAGAGGACTGAGTATGCTGTCAGGGTTTGTCTTTCTTTTGTTAAAACAAGCAGAAAAAAATGTTTGACCTCTTTTAAGATAAAGTGTAGGAAAAATGGCATAATGAATGAAATCCAGTTCACCACAGCAGCATCTGTAACCACAAGCCCTTCCTTTCCTTTCTCGTTCATTACATATCTCTGACTCTCTCAGAAGAGAACTTATTCCTGGGCATCTTAATTCCTTTAGTCATCTCAGAAAGTCACAGGGAGGTACTAAATATCCTTTTGGTTCCAGTCAGAACGCTACAGGGAATACCAGGAAAGGGCAGTGAGACCAGGACCCGTCTGTGGTCCCACTTGTCTCCAGAGGGACTTTTGGGCTTTTCTGCAGGCTCATTGGGTTTCTCTCAAAAGTGGTACATGTTGTCAGGGCTGTTTGCCTTTTGCATGGTTAAATTTCTTTTCTCTGAGTCCCTATTTTTGTAAATTTTTTTATTATCAGATTTGCTGGAAAATTTGGCTCTATACTGCCCTCCCATTACAACGGAGTGTTTGAGATCTTCACCCACTTCAACTCTTACTCCCAAATTCTGGTACAGAGGAAACTGCAGTTGTAAATACAACCTTACTGTACATAATGATAAGCCTTTTCTGGTATGAATGTATATTATGCCTGTCTGTTGTCAATGAGGCATAAATTAACATTTGGAAATGCAGTCCTTCAACCATGCTGCTTCAGTTTTGCCATCTGTAAGTTAGGATTAATACTTTCCAACTTCAAACAACTGTTTCAAAAACTGTCAGTGTTGTGTGTACAACAGCGATGGAATATTCCCTGAAATTAGAGTTCCTTGGTATTTTATTTCTGCTGTGGAGATGGCTAATGTTACTTGCACTTTGTAGACCAAACGAGCAGAGCTTCCTTTCACAGGTCTGTGACTCCTATCCTACAGAAGTGTATGTACCAAAGTCTGCAACTGCACACATCATAGTGGGGAGTTCTAAATTTCGGAGCCGAAGGCGTTTCCCAGCTCTTTCCTACTACTGCAAGGATAACAATGTAAGTGTGAATTTGTAGCTTTGAAGTGTTTGCTTATTTTGGCCTTGCAAATCCTTCTAGTAAGGTTTTACAAGAAGAAATCAGTGATTTTTTTGATTTTTAAAAAGTGGTTATTGTGGTCTGGTTAGTATGGTTGGTTCATGAATAAGCATTAATAGGCATTTAATGCAGTTATTTAAACTCAGCTTCATCATCCAGCTAACATAGAAAAGTGATCCCTGTATCACAAGGAAGTGGAGTCGTACAAGAGGCCCTGAGACATGGGTGGCAGAAGAATGAAGGCCAGTAGCAGGAGACTTAGCAGGTTAGTGGGAGGAGAACAGGGCAGTTTAGGTTCTGGTAACTACAGCCTGAGAGCAGTTTAAAGAATTGAAAAACTACACTGCATCAATTAGAGAATCAGGAGCAGCTTTTCAAGAAAAGATATTTTCTCTTGAAAAAGGATGTATGAAAGAGCTACCAAATTTTGGCTGAGCAGCATGTTGTGGGTTTATTGAAGAGACTCCTCTCATCTGCAAGAGTGAGGAGTACTCCCTTCTCCTCTCCACAACAGGTATTTTCAGGGCTGAGCAAGGAGCTACCTCACTTGTCTGTAACCATTTGGAAAAAAAACTATCCAGGCTATTTGCGTTTCTGTTTCTGGCAGCTGATGCAAAGAACTGAAGGATCCCACGGACTGGGTGATTTTACATTTGTGTTCCAGACCCTTAGAGACTGGCTTAGCTCAGCTGTCATTACCAGCCAGGAGAATGGTGTCTCCTTTGTACTGTCAGAGGATCTGTGTGACTAGTATCTCCTGTTTCAGTCCCAGACTGGCAGTTGCATTGAGAGGTCTTCCCTAGTACTGGGGGTGGTCAGCACTTCCCAAGAGACAGTCTTAGATTACAGGGCATCTATAGAGTTTGCCACACAGGATGGGAGATATTGCTGTAAAATGTCACAAGCATAAATCATAAGCTAGTCTCCATGGAAGTCTTACCTTTACAGTGACCCCGTCATAGGTTTAAGTTTCAGAAGGAAGGAATGAGACATTGTTTTCACTCCTTTACCCTGCATTTCATCAGAATATTGCTTCCATAAAGATCTATGAATTTTACAGCAAAAGTGGAAGATAGGAATATTTAAATAATAAATGCAATCTCTGCATAAATTGCATATTATTTTTAACATTTTATTAAGGCCAAATTTTTCAGAGCTAATCACTTTGCATAATGAACTATGTCCAAATATAGATATCTAGGATTCAAAACACTTGGACATTTCCAAATCTCAGGGGTTAGCTAGATTCCAATATCTAGTGATTCAGTTTGGATGAGTTTCATGGTTTCAGCCTGAATGTTTTCTCTGTTGTGGCTGGAGTTTAGGTTAAGGTTTAAACAACCAGGATCTGAAGTATTGTGTTTTCTTCTGGATCCTTCGCAGTTCAAAGAGCTAGGAAAAGCAATGCTGGAGGAAATACCTCCTTGTGAGTTTGGAGGTTGCCATGAGTTGCCAGCCAATAGAGTAATGGGCAGGAGAGGTGTAAGATTGATGATGCTCACAGCAGGTTGGGAAGAGGTCTGCTGCCTGTGGTGGAGACAGGTACCACTCATTTAGTCTTTCATATCCATAACTTTCCCATAGCTCTTTTGTCCTGACAAATTCAGTGATGATGTGACACCTTACTCTGCGTCTTATAGGATCTGTGTGAATATAGTAGGATCAAAGTCTGGAAGTACCTGTTCAGCTTATTCAATAGCAAAACATTACCTCGTCTCCTGCTCTACTCTTAAACGTAGCCCAAGAAATTTTACAGAGGTGTATGCTCATCCTAAGCAATAGGCCTGGGTCAGCAGGTGGTGATCTTTTCATTGATATTGTGGGTAATTATTCCCATTTGTGATATTTAATGGTCACTAGATCAGCTTATTTTCTTAGTTTTGCAGTACTGGAAGTGCTGCTGTTTCTTAAACTGGGGCTAAACATGATTGTAACCCCAAGCTTAACTTGACAGACAAGCCATTCTCTCATACTGGTGCCAGCACATACCGTAGCCCTTTGGGTCCCTAGAATGATATAATGTAATGGGCTCCAGCCCATGCTTTCCTGAATCCCAGCCTTCATCTAGAGCCCTTACTTTCATCTTAGTCTTGATGTCTGTATCTGCCTTGTGTACAGTACACTATGGATGAGAGAGAAATGTTTTCCTTCTGTGAAAATGGCAAAGGAGGTATAAGCATATATTAAATCACTGGAATGTGAACTGACAGGAGGCAAGACTCTAGGTAACTAATAATCTGTTTGGAAAAAATATTAATAAAGTATGAACAGGCTCTCACACAATTCAGGGTTTCTGTCTTAAAGATCCATGTTTTACTGACTAGCTACTGACAGTTCAAAGACATGACTCAAAAAAAATCCTGTCCTTTCTCACAGTAGTAAATAGTCTGTAGAGCAGTCTGCATGGGTTGCGACCTTCAGCAGGTAGATTCTCTTCATACTTGTGTTCAGTGCTTAGAAAGTGCATATATTAGCCCCTTGCCCTCTACAAGTCTAGCAGCCCTCTGCCTAGGAAAAATGAAAACTTCCTTGCTCACCCATTTAGCATTTTATTCCTATCCTGATGGGTCTATGGAGAAACTCTCTTGCCTCCTTCAATAGCCCTGATTAATAAATGTGCTCCAGGAGTCAGGCTACCTGACCCACTTCTTATGCAGTAAGGTGTTTCTCCTGAGGCAGTGCTAAAAATACATATCCATCAGTGATCTGGCTGCATGTTATGTTTTTGTTTCCTGGACTCATAGTGTCAGACTGTTGGTAAAGTGGGCATTGTGTAAGTTGGGTGTAATCAGTATCATACCTGGGAAGTTTGAGTGACAGTGCAAAATAACTTATTCTTTATGTTATGTCAGTGTTCTTGTGCTTGCAATGCTGTACTCATCCTCAAGATATTACCTTTCAGGTGTTATTCCACATTAGGGAAATGCCATATTTAAAATAGCTCTAAAACTTAGATTCAAGACTAGACTTGGGCTGATGGGGTTGTATTGTTTTAGTAGATTCTTGGCTTTTTAAAAAGAATGGGTTTATTAACATATAATTAATTTTACACTTTTGCCCTTCTCACATAACTGTACATCCATGCAAACATCTAATGATCTGGTCTCATAAATGGCTGTGGATACTAAATAACTTCCACTTAATAACTGTTGGGGTTTTTGTTTGTCTGTGTTTTTCTGCAGGCCTCCATATGTAGAAGCAGCCAGCCTTTATCTGGCTTTAGTGCTCGGTGCCTTGAGGATGAACAGATGCTCCAAGCCATTAGAAAAGCAAATCCAAGAAGTGATTTCATATACGTTGTTGACACTCGGCCTAAAGTAAGTGTATTAAATTTCTTGCACATATCAAAACTGAGTCTTGGCTGAATGTATTAGAGAAGATACACACCCTAAGTGACTGATCATACTTCTGATCTTGCACCTCTAACTCCACAGGTACATCAAGATTTATTAGGGGAATCTTAACTAAGAACCTTACCTGCATTGTTATCTCTAGAAGATTTTTTTCCTTTACCCTAAGCTTTTCTCTTTTTTTGTTCTTTGCCAAATGTTAAGATACAGAAAATTAAATAGCTTTTAATTGTAACTGTTTACATACACAGAGGAACTATCAGTACCTGTATTTCTGATGAGACTAGCAAAAAATAATTCCCATTATAAAATGTGTTTTCAGTTTTTTGTGATGTTGAAAACCTGCCTGCTTACACTAAAATTTTCCATGCATGAGAAAATTTCAACAATCTGTGCATAAGGCTAAGGAAAGACCAATTACTGAGGTTACAAGAATGGAGGAGTCTTTATTTGAATATCTCCAGCACTTTTGTGGTTTTGAGAGAGAATCTGAAATACGGTAAATAGTGATCTCAGGTGCCGTATCTCTATAACTTACTAAAAACCTCTGGCCAAGATAAGAGCTTTAGAAAAAATATGTGCTATGCAGAAACATAGAAATTCAATAATGATCTAGAAGAGGTTAGAAGCTAAAAAAACATTGTGTCCAAATTGCCAAGCTAGCAAGCACCTCAGGGTGATGAATACTAGATAGATTTCAGTATCTGGAGGTGGGAGCAGGGATATGTTCTTTCTTACACTATCAGCAACTTCCCTTTTTAAGTTATCAAAGCCTCTGAATAAAAGAAACTAAAGGGGCAAATCTCCACAAATTCACTTGTAGATAGAGGATGAACTATGTGGGAAAAGGAAAAAATGAGAGCAAAGGTTTGAGGAAAAGGAACAAGGAAGTTGTTTCAGTATACTGAGATCAGGAGACACAGCCGGAAAGGGCAAGGCAGCTAAAGCTGAGAACATAAGGAATGGAGTGAGGAAGGGCAAACCTGGCAGAGCTGGAGCAGAAACAAGGAACCTGCATGGTTGGCGACTGAATATGTGGGGGCTGGTGGGAAGGTGCGGAATGCTCACAGCTGTAATGGCAAGCAGTAGCCGGAAAATCAGGACCTTGGCATGTCTCATTGATGCAAGTCACACAGAGAACTCTGTAATCTGGTGACTACTTTGACCTTCAGTCCCATCTTTGTTATTGGGAAGATGAGGATGGTATCACCTTACTTGTGGTCCTGAAGCAACTGTATTGTGATGAGCACTAGGAAGGGATAGGTACCATTGTGTTCAGAACAGGCTTTTACATATGAGGTACAGACCCAGCTGCCTAAATAATGTTTGTTTAACAGTTTTCTATATGCAGTAATAGTTACAGCTTGTTTCTTGACTGATGGTATGTGTACTCGTCTCTACTTGAGGCAGTCCTTGACTGTTGGGATTTCTAACTAATGACTTACTGGCTTGGCTATTGATAATGTTTTGCAGGGTATTAACAGGAAGGTCCCATCCTGTAAACTTTTCTGATACATGACTTTGAGACACCTCCTGTGTGCAGTGAAAAAAGCCCATACTTTTTGGAGAGTGTGGAGAGAGTGAAATTGGCTTTTCAGCCATGAATGCCAGAATATTTCCAGCATTGTTGGCTTCTTCAGGAGCCTGTCAGGAGATGAAGGCTCATTGTTTTCACTGAACTTCTGTGTAAATAAGGTTTTGATGTAAAAAAATTTGTATCCCAGAATCCTATTTCTCTCTGCACTGCAAGAATGACCTGATCTACTAGAGCTCCTGTGATCCCAGGTGCCAAATACAGCCTTGTTACAGTTTTGCACCTGCTAATGCATTTATTAATCTAGAGGGTGTAGGAAGGAATAGGTATTGGTGGAAGCTGTTCCTGGAACAGCTGTTCCTCAGGGAACCTTTAACAAATGTAAAGATATTGAGTCTGGTGCAAGGTTTCCCATTGACATAGGTTGATAAAAAACTATTTGCCTCTTTTCTCATCAGCACCAGCTCCTTGCAAAGATTGTGAATTTGATGGGTCCTTCAATTCAACATTCCCAAGTGCTCTTCATGTGCTGTCCCTCATTGCACTTGATAATCTTCAAAACAAAAGATTTAGCTGTGGAAGAAAGTTTTGTTTCCACTTCATTTAAATATAGCTGGATGACCCAATGCAGAGCTTTACTTAGGCCACTGTCTTTCATCTATGTGATTACAGAAGAAGCTAATTTAAACTTACTGTCTTTGAGTAAAACACATTAGTTCTATATCCAATACATGACTTGGTTATTGTCCACATTAAAGAAAATGCCAGGAAATCTGACAAGTGAGGTCTGTTACCTTTAGAGGTTGTATCCTCATATTTCCTGAGATTAAGTAGGGACAGGCACAATTTAGAGACCTTCATGACAACTACTTTAAGAGCAACAGATGGAATTTTGGTAGATGATGTGGAAAACTTGTTAGTAAATATTGTGGCAGCTGCAAAATTTGGCAACCGACAGTATTGAAAATAAATGAGTGTCAGAAAGCCTTGCAAATTTAACTATTTATTTGTGTTTAAAGAGGGGTATTTCAGATTGTCTTTTAATAAATGATTTATGTGATAAAATTGCTCTGCTGCAGAAACAGCTAATAGCATTTATGTACTGAAGATTAGGTTGGTTAGAGGATAGATGTTTTTTGTTTAGAGTTTCAGGGATTTGTGGTAGCTCAGACTCATGCACACAGATCTTTCTTCCTGAAGCTATATGCCACTGCAGAGGCTGCCTCATTTTGTCTTTCTAAGAACACTGATGTCTGCTTCAAAAGAGAAAGATTAGTATTCAGCAGATAATGAATATCTTTCTAGTAGGTCACACTAAGGACTATCCTTAATGGACATGTTGCTTACAGGCTGTATATTTTTTTTATTGTTCAGCAATAGTCAAAACCTAAGCAGACTGCTGGTTAATAGACAAGAATGGATTTTTTGACCTGTGTTTTTTAAGAAACTTTACCCAAGACTTGAATAAATGCAAAATGCTGGGATTTTGCCAAGGTTCCTATGTAAGAATGAGGTTCCTTCTGTTGTATTATGAAATTCATGCAAAGTTTCAATTCCTAATGGTGGTCCACAAATGTAAATATGTATTTGTATTGCTAAGTTCTGCTTAAGGGAATGAATGCACTAGAAGGTGTGAAGATGGGAAAAAATCCCCTATCTTCACATATTAAATTGGACAGAATAAAAAAATTGAAAAGTGGTTTCTCTTATCTGTTTCCTTATGCGTCTAAATTAAAATTATAAAAAGTTTCAATTCCTAATGGTGGTCCACAAATGTAAATATGTATTTGTATTGCTAAGTTCTGCTTAAGGGAATGAATGCACTAGAAGGTGTGAAGATGGGAAAAAATCCCCTATCTTCACATATTAAATTGGACAGAATAAAAAAATTGAAAAGTGGTTTCTCTTATCTGTTTCCTTATGCGTCTAAATTAAAATTATAATAAAAAACATT